CCTGCCTGCATGCAGGCAGCCCCCCCCCAGCCTGTGGTGTCTGGGCAGCCCAGAAATCCTCCCTGGCAAGGCCCCTCTCCGGACACAGCATCTCTGTATCAGCGAGAGGACAGGGGCAGCACCGGCTGCAAAAGCACCCGCTCGGTGCATCCCACTAGCCTGGACAGTGCAAGGGGCTTCCCGAAATGCAGAGGTGAACACAGCCCCTGCACGGGGCGGTGGGAGCCCCATCGGGGCGGCATGGGCTGGAGAGGATGATGGTGCATCACTGGGTGATGGTCCCCGGCACCCACCAGCCTTGACCGGTGCCACCAGGCCCCAGAGCAGCACCGAGCCTGGCTCAGCCTGGGCGAACGCGGTCCGAGCTGGGAGGACGGAGCAGCGAGGCGGCAGGAATTAACCTGTCAGACAAAGCCCTCTAAAAGCTTCTGCGAGTCCTGGGACCCCTGCGCAGGGACGGGGCAAAGGTTTCCTAAACAGCTCAGCAAGACGGGGCGGCTGCCGGGACCCCGCGTGCGGGCACCACCACCCCCAGCCCCGCCACACGCAGACCTGCCTGTGCAAGGCTGCAAGGGGAATCCAAAGAGCAACATAAATATAGCACAGAGGCAGCTTTTTCTAATCAAATCCATTAAATCATCCCAACCTGCTTGCAAGGAATAATCCAGACAGGAATAACAAACCAGCTGCGAGTCTATTTTGCTTTTGCTGGTTGGAGGGGATGCAGAAAGCATGGATTTGGACCCCAACAGATGAAGGTAGGGAACCGGGATGAGGGTCCCTGAGGATGCTTCAGTACAGAAAACACGACCGTGCACTGGGAAGAGCCCGGCGCCGAAACCGGCCGGTGGCCACACGCAGGCTGGGACCCAGCCCTGCTCGCCAGCCCCGCTGGAGAGGATCCAGCCCCCTCCGGGCTGCAACTTGCCTCCATTTAACAAATAAAACGCCTGATGGTTGACAACAGAGAACTGCTCTATGTAAAGAGCCTGTCAAGGGAATTTAATGCAGATGATTAAAATCACCCGAATTGTGCTGGGACCTGGGCAGCAGCTCCGCGGACGCCCAGCCGGTGCCTTGGCGTGCTCGGCGGCTTCGTCCTCGCTCGGCATGGGATGCGAGTGGGGCATCCCTAGGCTGGGGACGAGGACGGGGACCCCAAACAGCACAGAGCTGCATGCTCCACGCTGGAGCCAGCTCAGGAACAGCCACCCCGGCTGCCGAATTTATTAGGCAGCACCCGAATAGCCGGCACTGTTTAATTCCCAGCTGGACGGGGGAGAGGCAGCCGCAGGGGGATAAAGGCTTTATTGTGTGTTGGATCCGTGCACCAGTGCGAGACGCAACCTCTGTGGTGGGGCACAATGCCGTGCCATGCCACAGGGACCTGCTTTCCCCGAAGGATTGCGGGGCTCCCTCGCGTCCCCGCCGGCCATCGCTGTGGCTCTCCCTGCTTTCCCACTGGTGCCTCCTCACCACACAGCAGTTTCCAGTGCGAGGTTTCCAACCCGCCATGCACAACCCTGCTTTGCAGAGCCCAGGTGATCCTGGGGATCTTTGCCCATGCGGGAGCACCCTCTGTAGCTGCACTGAGCAGCACGTGCTCCTGGGGAGCACCTGGACCTCTAAAACCCACCGGCATCCCCTGGCATCCCCTTAATGAAGATGCTGCCGGTCCTTTCCAAGCTGAAAGGAGGCAGGAGCAGCTACAGGCGGACAAACACCCTCCTTGCACGGGGGGGGGAACGTGGCATTGGGCCGGGGCCGCAGGGGCACTCACCACTTTGAAGTCTTCGGGGGTGCATTGCTCCCCACGGAAGAAGCAGGACAGCAGCATCTCCCGGATGTCGTGGCCAGCCCGGTCATAAAACTCCAGCATGTTAAAAGGTTTGGGCTTGAAGTTTCGGAAGTTCGCCTTGTCCTGCAGGATTTCCAGCTGCTTTTCGTCGGCGGTCTGGGTGTCTGGGATCTCATATCTTAGGGGAAAGAGCAGGCAGAAGCTCAGGCCTGACCACGGCAGCTGCTCCCGCCAGCGAAAGCCATTTGGGCTTCACATGAGCTACTTCTGTCCCGACCCCGGCGTGGGCTCAGCAAAGTCCCAGGCACTTTGCACGTGGCATTTTCAGAGCATTCAACAGCACAAAGTAGCCCAGAGGCACATGAGAGGCGGCAGGAGGATGGGTGAGGAGGATAAGCTGGGCACCAGCAGCGGCCACGTACCAAACCCGTCCCACTTGCCCCAGAGCTGGTCCCACAGCACCGGCCCTGGTTGAGGCCAGCCCAGCCACCTGCCCCGTGTCTTTGGTGGCATCACGGCTGCAGGTGGTGGCCCTGCTGGGACGTGGGCTGAGTGTGCTGGGTCTCAGCCCCCGGTCTCATGGCTGCAAACCCCTCCCCAGGGCACAAGTCGAGGCAGTGGTGAAGCCCCTTGGCAAACGGCACAGGCAGGGAGTGCGGCCTTGCTGCCGGCACCAGGCTCACGGCAGGGGCTTGGTGCCCCCACGGAGCCACTACAGCCATGGGGATGGGCCGGGAAGGGTGGGTGAGGGGCTTCCCTGTGAACCCTGCCACCGCAGAGTCCCACGGCCCAAGGAATGGCACCGGCCTCCAGTCCTGGTGCATGGGTGATGCTCAGTGGCTTCACCTGCTGGCATCCCTGGCCTCGCTGCATGTGTCAGACACCCAGGACATGATGTCAGAGCCATGCATGCTGGATCCACCCCGCAGGCATCCCAGGGTGGCCCTGGCCTTGCTGCATGTGCCGCGCACCGGGGATGGGAGCCATGCGTGCTGGATCCATCCAGGGCAGCCCAGCATGGGAGCCACATACCCAGGAGCAGTAGCAGGACCTGGTGGCTCTCAGCTGCCGGTGTTACCACATAGTGGCCACATCCAGCTGCAGAGCCGAACTAACTCAGGATCCGCTTCCTCACAGAGACTAAGGAGATGCCGCCCATGCCAGTCATGGAGTACACCTCTCCAGCACTCGCTGCCCCACATGGTGGGGGGCTGGTGTGGTGGCTGGAGCCACGCGCGGTGGCCTGCCCTGGCACACAGAGACATCACCTGGGGCCACCTCAAAGCACCAGCACCCACCTGTTATTGAGCAGGGCGAGGAGCTCGCCGGCGTGGTACAGGTCGTTCTTGGTCACCCGGCTGAAACGAAACTCGTTGAGGTTGCAGAAGGTGACGGCGGGGAAGGTGAGCCTGGTGGCCGCCACCTCGTCCAGCTTGGTGACGTGGGGGTAGAGGAAGTAGTACTGGATGCGGTTGGTGCAGACGAGGGTGAGCAGCGCCAGCGAGCCCAGGAAGCACAGAGCCCAGACCACGCGCTTCAGCGACAGCCGCTCGTACGAGAAGATGTGCGAGAGCCCGTGGAGGGTGGAGCTGCTGGCGAAGGCCTGGATGCTCACCGGCTGCCCGCTGTCCTCCTCCTCCTCGTCCACCTTCAGGTCCATCATGGTCCGCGCCGGCACCCTGGGGTGGCCACTCTGCC